AACCTCAGATATACCAGAGCACCACTTACTCACAATGGGTCTGGTTTGGTTAAGTAATCTACAAGCACAGCACATGACAAAGGCACACAGAAGAATTACTAATATTTTCGATTTCTTTTTCTAACTTCAGCAAATAAATGGAGTGGCATCTCAGAGACTATTTTGAAGATCTTTCTCCTTTTACCAATATAACAAACTGGTTTGACCCTCAATAGGTTTTCTTTTCCAATGATCAATCAGTCAACAAGCATTTATTAAGCACCATGGCACACGACAGTTATCACTTCTTTAAGAAAAAAGCACTACGAATGACTTGAAAATGTCCCCAATAAATGCACTAAATGACTAAATACGAATTCTTAGAAGTCTCCCTCACTGTCCCTCAGCCCTTTCAACAATGGGTATGGCATTTTCCCTATCGATAGTTAAGCATGTTCATGGCATTAGGAAACTCTTCAACACTTTAAGTTGCAGAGAAAGTATAGATCTGTATCAGTAGAGAAGGTATCCTTGCTTTCTCTGAGAGGTTCATAATGAACATGGAGTCCAGTCTCTAATACGTTTCATAAAACTGCAACATAACACCAATTAAAAGGTTCAAAGTGGAGTATTAAAGGAATAAATATTGAGCCAAAATTAAGAAGTTCGAAAGATACAAAATGTAAATCTTCATTTTTTTTTTTAAGAACACCTGGCGGGGGGTAGGCCCTACCCATAGCTGCCTCTTCATTTTGCCAGGTAGAGGTTTAAGAAGCTACATATCAATTGAAGTCTAACATTCTTTACTTCCTCTATTATCACACTCTGAAACACTGATACACTTTTATAACCTAGCTTTGCATGCGTAATGTTGTATGTGCATGTGTAATATAGATAAACTGATCCCAGGGTCCTGGGGTCACACAGACTCTAACCAAGTGCCCTAAAACTTCATGCTGTGATGTGACAAAGCATTCCCCTTATTGGCTACTGAGCTAGGCAGGAGTTTCTAAAAGGAGAGGCAATCCTCATGAATGCTCTCTTATTCCCATTTCCAGATTGTGTGGAATGGAACTTTTCTCTGGGACTTCCTGTGAGGGGTGGGAGAGAGTGACTTCCCTCTCTGCCCTGCAGCCATGGATGCTGCTAACATATGGCAGCATGCACAGGCGCTGCCTAGAAAAGCCTGAGCCTGGGCCTCAGGACCCTGGCTGCATGTCCTGTCACGTTCCCTTCTCCAACACTTCAAAGTATGGGTGATCCAACAGCATCTCTAAGGTTTCTAAGGAACAGCATTCCCAGCCTGGGGTTCTGGGTGCCACAATTAAGATGATTAAAATCAGAGGAGGTTTTCTGTCACTACAAATTACCCTTCTTAGAGAAGACACCCACACAGGATGATGAGGTTCCTTCTAGGCTAGAGACATTTATCTTAGGACTGTTCAGTTGCCCCCTTTACATATGGTTACAGTATTGTGTGGGTGTTTTTCTACATACAGACATACATAAAAGCGACTTCTTAAAAAAGAGAAAATGAGTCCATACTTATAATATTAGTAATTTTTATGTAAATAATTAGCACTAAGGAATGGCATTGAATCAGTGCTAGGGTCTAGAAACAGGAAAGCAGACCTGTGATGGAAAATTGTGATTTAGGAGTCAAGAAAGATACAAAGGTCCAAGACTAACAGTTGGCATCCAGAACTTAAACTATCATGCAGAGCAAGCGTATAACATAAGTGGCAAGCAGGCTCAGAAAACAGCCAAAAATTGGGACCAATAAAAAAAAATATATAATGTTTACTACTATTATTAACTGGCATTGTACTAGGCAATTTATAAATATTATCTCATTTGATCTTCACAACAAGTCTGGGAAACAGATGTTATTATTATCCTCATTTTACAGTTGAGGAAACTAAGGAAAACAGAGATTAAGTGACATGTCCAAGATCACAGAGATAGTGTCTGAGTCAAAATTGAACTCAGGTCTTCCTGATTCCAGGCTCAGCTGCACCACACCACCTACTAGCTACCTAGTGAGTTAACTAAATAAGAGAAATAATCTCAATTTGGAACCAGACTTGGGAACAAGGGTTGGGTCAAGAAAAGAAGAACCATGGGATAAAATGGAAAACCTAATGTTGAACCATTAAGGACCTTGTGCTCTCTTCCTCTTTTTAGAAGAAGAGCTTACCAAAAGCTTGGCATGAGCATGTGTCTACCCTGGGAGGCAGGTGTAGGTCAGCAGGTTACTCAGCTTTCTTCTGGTCAAAGGTCTACACCTGGCAGCCAGGCCCTGTCTGCCAGACCTTGACAAATGGTACATGTTTGTACTAATGAAGTACCAGAATCTTAATTCATCAGCTTTGGTACTACACCATGTGTCCTACATCTGGACATAGCTCTTTCATTTGTCAATATTTCATGAAGAGGGCAGAGTGGAAGAATAACAATGTTCTCTTAGTAGTAGGCTGCTTTACAGAATATAGAATGTAAGAAAGCGATAATTACTCATTCTTAGACCACTCAGCTGAGAAAAGTAAAGAACTGGTTTTTTGGCAACTTTTATCAACATGCTCATAACTAAAGAGATACTAATTGATAGAGTGATCATTTGTTCCTCAAATAAGCATATTTCTTTTCCATAGACCCATGGAGATAAAAAGAGATTCTCTTCTAACTATCTGGATCTTGATATACACTCAGGTATAAAGGAAAATTAGTAAATCATTACTTAAATAAACATCATTGCATTTCAATACGCCCTAGGAGGAATTATAGAGAGTATTTTAAAAATCACAGATTCAAGAACGTAAAATATTAAAAATGAGATTGGATTTTTTATTTTCACACAGAACTGTCTGAAACCAAATGGAAATTATGAAAGACAGCATTCAAATTATACTCTGGCTTAATTTAAACAAAACCGAGGAAATTAGAAGTTAGTGCTGCCAAACCATCCTTGGTTTCCCACTGCGCCTCGATGTTCCACATGCTGTCCCATAGACTACCGTCCCCACTGGATATATGGTTAAATAGAAGTTGCAAGTGTTACTCTTAAATCAGACCTTCCTCACTTCTTCAGGAAGGATGTCCAATTGTTAATTTAATTTGCATTTTTCCAATCCAAAAAAAAAAAAAAGAAAGCAAACCTCCAAATACAACTGTTTTTGCAAAGCTCTTTCCTTCCAATTTTTTTTTCGAATGCCTGTTAGTCTCTTGAAAATTTGGTAAGTACATAAAAGCTGCTCTGTGAAATTAATGAAATGCCAGATGCACTTGAGGTTGAAAAGAAAAAGTAAACCAAACACATTTCACATGGGGAAAGAATACAAGTACAAATATGTTGCCTTGTATAATGAAGCATGCATGAAAATGTCCCATACATATATAGGTCACCTTATCCAGTATTATTTTGTCTAACCCTACCATACACATATATATACATATACATATATGTGGGAGTATTTTTCTACATACATATATCAAGGACTTCACATACATGTGTATGTCTGCTGTTCTAATTTGTAACAAATCTGCATGTCCCTTGGAAAGAGTCAAACAAAATTTCATATATTGGAAAGGTTTTCTTCTATCTACTACTGAGACATGTTCTAGTTTAAAGAAGTAAAAATGCTCTAATTGTCTCTCTTCCTAGGGCATCCCCTTTCCAAAGTAACAATCCTCCTACTTAACAGGTAACATCTGTGGAGTTGCTATTGATTTTAGTTAGAATTTCCGCTCTGTCCCCCATTTAAAGAAATAAAATTATAGCACTGAGAATACAGCAGGGAGATTAGGCTTGCTTAAAATTACAAGCCTTATTTTTATTGAAAAAGTATTTAAAGAGCTCCCTAAAAAAAACAAACTTTCACTCACACAGTAAGAATTTTTTTTTTAAATTCACATGTATTATCTTTGACCCCTCTGATAGTAAATAAATGTTCCTGTGGCTGGAGTTTTATTATTAGCAGTAACTCTAAAAAATAATATATGAAGACATGAACACACAAGAAATATTAGCATAATACCTCAATTTTTGGAATAACAAAGATTTAGAAAATAAATTCAAATGTTTATTAATAGTTCATATATAATTCATAAAACTGAATTTAAAGTTCTACACATTTCATGATATTCTAAATTCTCTGGTACATCACTCCTCTAAGAAAGTATAGGTAATACTATGAAAAGGTAGATTTTCATAGGTATAGTTATGAAACATCTATTTCAATGTTTTTGTCATATTTAGTAACATTTCGTTTCAACAGCAGAAATCCTTTCATTTTGCAAATAGTAAAATTAGCATTCTCTCCTCTGAACATTTTAATGTGTATTTTACAAAAAAAAAATAATAAAAGCTAGTATTTATATAGAGCCTGCTATGTAGCAGGCACTGTGCTAAGCACTTTACAAATATGATCCCATTTGATCTTCACAACGACTCTAGGGGAGAGGTGCTATTATTAGATAATGCAAGGAGGGGTGGGTGGGATTTTTCTAGCAAAAGTGAAGAGAGCATAATCTTGAATTCACTGAAGGATTTCAAACCTCAGTGTAAAGTTCATAGAACTTGATTAAAATCTATATACAACGTATACTCATTTCATATTGTATGTTCATTTCAGCTTTTAACCAACCAGTCCCACCAAAATAGGCAAAAATATAGAATAACCTTTATGCAGTGTGAGGATAAAGTTTTCACATATACATCTACAGATGTATATACATATACACATACATATATATTATATATAATATATGCCACTAAAAAGGTAAGTTCACATAACTCTAGTACAAGTGCAAGATAAACTTCTGATATGACAATTCATTCGTTTTTTAAAAATCTTTGTTGAGTATTTTTTTTTACTTTTACTCAATTACATTTTGAGTACTGTACTGATATATTTCTTAACTATATACATTTTCACTACTTTACTGAGAATTTTCATTTTTTTCAAAGCCATTTCCAATCTTTTATGTTTGTAACTTAATTGATAGGTGTGACTGCCCCCTACCTTCAAAATACCCTTGTCTGGCACGGTGTGCTTTCTTTGGTGTCTTCACAGGGGGTTGTTTATTTCCATTATTTTTGAACAATGCCAGGCGCACAGCAGGGTCTAGACAAAAAGAAGTTAAAAATCAAAGGTCACTTCTGGCTCAGTCATTCCCTGAAATAGCTCTTCTCGATTAAGTCATTTTAGAAAGTCAGAACCCTTTTCCTGCCATTTATGTGAACAAAATAATAATGCTTTTCTACTTCTAAATTATGTACATGAGAGAACGAAGAAAATCACAGATTTATTTTTTGTGATATTCTTTTCACTTCTGATTACAAACATTTAGTTGTCAATTTTAAAACATCCAAGGTAAATCAACTACTAATATGACTATCATTCTTATTTATGGGCTTTATTCCCTTTGGTGCTAAGATTCCCCTTTGTTATTGTATATATTTCCATTTTTAAAACTTCTGAGGCCTCGATGAAATGGAAGAAAATGTAAATATATCTTAGATATAACATCTATCTACTAATTCATTCATCTACTTTAGAACAGCTCTTGAATCCTTTCTTTATTTCTAATACTTGATGCATACTGTGGCTATAAGGACTGGAAGAATGGGAACTGGATTGTAGAATTTGGAGCTTGAAGTAACCTTGGAGATCATAAAGCCCAAAACTCTCATTTTTTAAGATGAGAAGATTAAATACCAGAAGGGATGTGATTTGCCCAAGGTCATATAGCTAGTCAATGGCAGAGCCAGATTCAAACCCAAGCCTTCTGTCAAGAAAAGCATTGGAATAAGATATGGTAAATGGAAAAAAAAAAGTGGAGGGGAGGAATTAAGCAAGGCTGAAACTGGAATGAAGTAAATAGACTTTTTTTTTCTTCATCTGCTTTATTCTTGAAGATGTTCATAGGTTAATGCTGACGTCCCATTGACAGTCTAAATTGATTAATTACATGTAACATAAAGTGAAGGTTGACAATAAGGAAAGAAAAATAGGGATGGAGGAAAACGTTCCATTTCCAAGAATCATTGTCATGATTTATTAATTAGTGCTATAGAATCTAATGTTGGGGAAATTAGATTTGGTGAAATGTTTTGGGAAAATGAATGGAATTTATAAAAGAAGAATGAGATGCTACAGAAAATGGTAAAGAAGAAAAGTATTTGTGATGCCAAGTAGATTGGTTAACAATGTGATAATTTAGGATACAAATACTTATTTTTGTTTTGTTTTTGTTTTGATCTGCATTGCTTGGTAAGAAGTGAGAAATGATTAACTCTAGGTAGGAACTGTACTTAAAAAATTTGAAAACAAAATATAATACAAATTCCATGTATTTAATAATTATAAGAAGTGATTAATATTATGATATTAAAAAAACCTGGGAATTGGAGGTAATGCATAGAATTGTGAGGGGTTTTTTGTTTGTTCATTTTTAAGATTTGAATGCTTTTGCATTTTAAAGAGCTATTTGACAACCTGATACTCCTTCTGTGCTCCATCTGTAGTTTTCCAACTATAAAGTCAATTCAAAGATATGTCTCTTTTTTTGGCATTCTGACAATGGATATGAAAATAAGCAGTATAAAGTGTGGATGGCCCTTTAATGGACTAACTGGCCAATTCAATCTAATAACTAGCAAAAACAAAAACAAAAACAGACTCCTGAATTTTAAAAATATACTGAATTGATCAGTTGACTCAATTGACTAAAATGAAATGTTGTTTTGCTATTATGTGTAAACTTCAGAGTTTACTTTCTAACCAGAGGTTGATAGCATGTAGTAATCTGATTATTCCCCAAATCCTGATTTCAATTAATCTTTAAATGGTAGTTCATCCTTAGGAAGGTAAGTTTCCATACAACAGAGAGATTACATTTCTTGAGATCAAGGAAAGTCTTGGTCACCATTTTCTACTTTTTTGTTGGCATCTGCTTTAATAAATTATTTGAGGGAGCCCCAGAAAATGTGGAGGATCGTGCTTCTTGGACTGATCAGAAATCTGCTAAAGTGTTATCTCATTGCTAGCCTCCCTGCCCCCAACAAAACAAAACACTATTGACTCCCAATTAATATAGATAGAAAAGCACTGACATCTTCTCAAGTATGGCATCTGGTCAGGCAGCAATAATTTCTCGATGTTGTTTTACACATGAAAGTCAGCACATAATTCTTGATAACTGGGACCTGACATATACCTTTTCATTTCACTTTCTGAGAAAATAAGAAGCAGAGCATGTTCTAGAGCACCTGCTTTCAGTTCTTCTCAAAGTGGAAAAGAAGGTGACTAGGAGTCAAGCAAACTTGCCTTCAAGTCTTGACTTTGTTCCTCACTTTCTGTGTGACCTTAGAAAGTCACTTCATTTTCCTAACCTTGTTTCCCCAGTTAGTAAAATTAGGAGGCAGGGTTCTATCCTTTTAAATGCTAACATTTGATGACTAGGAGTCTCTGATCACACAACATCTCAATTTATTGAAAGCTTAAACACTGAAAAGGGCTAATCATATAAAGACAAGAAGATAAATAGTCTGAATTCATTCTAATTGGAACAAAATCTGCTAATTGACACCTATTCCTCCCTCTCCAGTTGCATAAATTTCATTATACATCTTAAGATACAGGTTTTAATCTGTCTCTAAAAAGCATCTTAAAGAACCTCAACTACCTTTTTCACATTCCTCATAATTTAGATATAGTTTGTACATTAATTACATTTAATTTATTTATATCCTCTGCTTGTTTCTTGTATATTTATTTTGCATCCCTTTCCCTCACCTACCCTCTCCCTCCTCTAGGCAAGGTCCTTGTAAGAACTTTGAGGCTGGTAAACCTATCTTCTACTGTTACATAAATTATCTTCATGTGAGCTAGCCTTTTCTTAATTTGTACAGGTTATTTTGAAATTTTATAGTAGGTGACAACATATTTTATAGAATTTTAGTATTTTGAAGTCAAAACTGATCTACATTATTTGCAAAATAACCAATAGATAATTAAAATTTAAGGCAATAAAGTTTCCCATTGAAAGTTCATTGGGAGTTTCAGAACTTGAAATCTACCCTTGAAGGAGACAGAAATCTCCAAGAAAATGATGATCTTTTTCACTGTGAAATTAGAAAACTTGAAAATGTTCTCATAAAAGGTGCAACCATGATGGATATTACTTTTAGAAACTTTAAAGTATCACAAAAAGCAGCAAATAATGGTGTTTGGTCTTATTGTGGCCAACTAAATATTAAGTGGAGAACTGTGCATGTTTTTTTTCCAATGACCTATGTTTATTAAATATAATTTCCATGGAGATATAGGAGAGAAAAAGAGTAGAATGGAAAAGAAACAAAAAAGTAAAAATGCCACCATAGCCCTGGAATGTTTTTAAAGGTAAAGATATCTTAAGGCAAGTCATAATGAAAAGGCATTTAAAATGTAAATATTTAATATTTTTGCCTTTGACTCCAAGCAGTAAGATGAAACAACAAGAATATATACATATATCTAGATAGATATGAAAAACATTAATTATTGTCACCTTACAAAACTTAGCCACTAATTTTGTAGAAAAATCTATGAAATGTAGAAAAACTACCCAAAAAATGTTAGAAACATTATTTTTTTCTAACATTTACTAATGTGTTAGAAAAATAGTAGGATTTTGTTGTTTTTGTGGAAAGGGGTGAGATAAATTAGAAAATGGTCATTCTAATTTATTTTCAGAGAGAAATGAAACCAAACCTTAGAAAACCCAGCTATTTATGCTTTGGGTGTTTTTTTTTTTATTATCATTATTCCAACTTACTTTTTTTTGTTGAGTTAAACTTTATTTATCATTTTATCTTGAAGGAAATTCATACTAGGGATTCTAGATCAGATGCAAATGCATCTTATTTCACAAAGCAGATCACAGAATTATAGATTTAGGCCTGGAAGAGATTTCAGAGGCCATTGAGTTATACCCCCTCATTTTGCAGAGGAGTGAAGAGGACCAGGAACGTGTTACAACTTTCTCAAGGTCACATATGTAATAAGAAGCAGAAGTGGGATTTGAATCTGGGTCTTCTGATTCAAAGTCCATTGCTTTTTCCACTGTACCATATTGCCTCTTCTGGATATATTGCTACAGAGTTTCTAAAATTTGAATTTTCATATGATGAATTCTAGTTCCCCACTAATTATCATTATAAAACACAGTAAGTTTATTCATGGAATTTTAGAGCACTAAAGAACCTTAAGAAATGATTTAGTCTGACCTCTTAATTTTTAGAAACTGAGGCCTAGGGAAGTAGGAACATTAGATATAAAACAAGATGGGACCTCAGAAATGTTATAGTTCAACCCTTTCATTTGACAGATGGGGACACTGAGGCCTAGAGAGACAAAGTTATTTGCCCACAGTCACAGATCAGTATAAGTAGGAAAGATGGGATTTGAAACCTTGGACTCCAAATGTGGCACACTGCTTTACAACTTGGTGAAACGTGCAAGCTTCTCTAGCTGGCATTCAGAGCCCTGTACTTGTCTTTCCTGGATAATGGCACCTTCCTTCTCCTCCTTATGCACCATATGGTCTAGCCTGACTCTCTGTACAGTACATTTTACCTCACTCTTGATGTGAGGTTCTTCTGGATGATCACAGGTTCTTCCCTATGCCTAGAATTCTCTCTCTCCTTTTCACACCAACCAGGTGACCCAGTGCATACAGAAGTGGGCTGAAGAGTCAGGAAAACTGGAGTCTATATGTTCACTGTGTGTCCCTGAGCAAGTGCCTTCACCTCCCCAAGGTTCACTATCCTCAGATGCAGAATGGAACAGGAAACTCTTTTTCTGAGCAGTTGTGAGGTTCTGAGATATCCAATGTAAAGCATCTTATAAGCTTCAAGGCATTATATAAATATGAGGTATTCTCAGCATAGTAGAGCCAGAAAATAATAACAGCTTGAGTCTACATATTCTATTCCTACCCTTGTGAAATTACTAGTCCCCTTCAGGGACAGCACCATCTCCTATAAGAGGCTTTCCTAATGCCTCTTATTAACAGTACTCCATCAGGTTGCTTGGTGTTTATTTTATATCTCTTTAGTTGTGACTATGTTGCTTTCCCCAAA